AAAAAAAAAACAAACTAGTTCAACAGAAGGAACTCAGTAGGCAAAAAATGGGAAATATGAAACAAGTACAGTTTCTTTTCCTTAATACCGCCCCAAGAAAAGAGAAGATGATGCAGTCGAGAAAAATCCGAAGTGTTCTGACCAGCAGATTCTACAAAAAGTCGTACCGTCTCATTTTTTTCGAGTACTTCGTGTTGCGGCATCTCACACGCTGGTTACAGGTTCGTTTCCCAGATCTATCAGCCTAGACCAACCAAGCCATCCATCCCTTCAGGGTCAGTTATTTGATACTAGACCCCTTCAACAGGATAAAAACAGTGACTTTTACATCTTCTGACCACCGCAATTCATTGCATGGGTCACATACGCCTATGCGACTCAGAATGGAAGCCGAATGCGGGGGCGCATCCAACAAACGGAATTTCTGCACTGAACTGGAAAAGCCTTTATCCTCTACCTCTGGATTGTAATTAATATAGTTAACATTGAATGATTTGCGGGCACAGGGTGGAACAAGTATACTTCGCGAAGTTACTCTTAAATACCGCCTTCAATATTTCGTACTTGGATATTTTCATACAATTGACCGGTTCATCCTATAATCTGAACAACCAGATCAATACTGGGAAATAAAAGAAAAAGGTTTAACTCTTAGAAACAGCTAATACTCCCGTTTTCCCTACAGATTTACCTACTACTAACGAATGCCTGGCACATTATAAGCAGAGGCTTTTACAGACTGGATGTCCTATAGCGATAATTTAATTAAATAAGAATGGTTTGCTCGGCTTCCTATCCTTTACATTAATATACGATAGGCTGGAATCGATCCAATTTTCAAAACAAATTCTAGTGAAAACAGCTTTCAAACACTTTCTATCTGATGCAAATACGCCTACAGCTCCTTTGAAAGATATCTAAGGCAAAAGTTATTTACTTATCAAAAAAGTGAATGGCAAAATTGATTGAATGGCCGGCCAAAAGAGAGCTCATATAAACGCGACCACAATAGTTTTGACCGAAATGGACAGCTTAGGCAAATAAGCAATCGATGAATTGAATAAACATGAGGAAATAAACAAATCGTGGCGGCACGTCTGTAAATAAGTCGATCAATAAGATAACATTGCAGAGCAGAATCTTAAGCATCTGGCACATCAGTGGAGAATAAGATCGAGTACAGTCACGTAACAGCCTGATTCAACATCCTGTCGTCTATTGGGGCGGAACAAAAAACGACCTTAACACGTAGCGTTTCCTGGCCTCGTTACGGGTGATATGATCTCATAGATGAGCTGTTGCTGATCAAGAAAAGATCAGTCAGTCAATGAGGCGACGATAATCGCCATAAATCGCCGTCCGTGACCATCACGCCCCTGCTCCGGTCCATGCAATGAGTCGCAATTGAATTATGACGCAACCCGATAAAACAATCGCAAACTGTCACCATGGCCAATCATTGTGATTCGTTCCCACCCCAAATGTCACACTGAGCAAACTGAGCCGATCCAATTGAAATTCGATACCCAGTAAAGGGGAAAAACCATTACGCAACATGTGGCATCATCCGGCGAAATCGGCCGTATATCTCGGATTCCGCTCTTGGAGGTGAAATGAACCGATTTCAAACAGCAAAGGATAAATCTCATTTGTAAAAATATAAATTGAAGCTGCTAGATCACCGGTGGCCAGTCGAGAAGCGAGACAAACTAAAACATCACCATGGCCAGTTGCCCAAGCTCACTAGAGAAGTTTCGAGATCTCAGGTGCTCCAACCTATACCGGCAATTATTCTTTCATCGCATTTTACTGCAGTTTTCCTTGCTTCTTGATGTCGGCTCTCAACTGGACCTACTTCTTCGAGGTCAACCGGCGAAAAGGTAGACAGAATGGACTGGCCAAAACGAAGACAGAATGATCCTTCCCAGCGCGATTCACCCATCAAAGGAAAAACAACCTAATCTCCGACTCTAGACAACCATAGGACAAGTGATGCATGATCCATCACTCCTTTTACACCGAGAAGAACGGTGTTTGAAGAAACAACGCGAATAAAGTCCAATAAAAAAGGACACACTTTCTGTGAACTAGTTTTCCCATTACCGAGAAGTTTTATGGGCTAAACTGTCTTGTGGGTTGGTAAACGAAATGGTTTTGAACGGCGATAGGGAACATTCCAAGAAAAGAAGCTGACAGGCAAGGCAAGGGGAAGAAGTGGAACTAAACCACAGCTGATAACTCTATTGACTGATAAGGAGCTTGGAACAGAACTTTCAGGGAGGGGACTGTGGGTAAACATCTGGTGTTAAAGGAACGGATTTTTCAGCAAGTGGCTCATGCTTAAGCAGTACTACTGTGGCTCAGGAAAATTTTCAATACCGAGCATTGCCCCGACAAAATATACCACGTGTAGAATTTGCTGGCTTAAACGGCCCTGTTTTGTTCCTCGTGGCTTATGGCGCCGCGCCAGACACTAATACGTACGTCGACGATAAATCAGCTGCGGGATCCCCTCCATTCAAACCTCAACCTCATTAAGACCTGAATACGCTCCCTCTTCTGAACTAGACGAAAGTTCGAATAGTAGTACCGAGATCCCAATGTGATCTTGGAAAAGGCAAGCACAAATACAATGCTACAGTATTTTCTAGAAACCCACCGAGTAACAATTTGCGCCTTGTAACGGAACCTCCAGATAATTATGCTTATTTTACCTTGAACACTTCGAAAACAAAAAATTTATTTAGAAGTCAATGATTTCAATAAATAAAAATGCAACATGAGCGGGCTTCAAATGGGCTACTCGACAGTAATGCTCTTCAAACCAAGCTACTGCTACCGCCAGATAATCCAGCTAGTTGACAAGACAATCAACTGAATCAGGGAAACTACCGGAAGCTTTGAAAAGGAACAAATTGCCCATTTTTGCTTTCGTCACACTTTAAAAGGAATCCTGTTACCCAAAAAACGATTCTATCCACAAAATTGGGGAATGTAATATAAAAACGAACACAAAGTCTATAACGAATTTGATCGGTTCACAAGGGA